GTGACCGGAGTCCGAACGATAACCGAAGCCTTGGAAATCCCTTTGCCTAATCACTACGCCGTCTTTCGATAGGTTATCCCAGTAACACGAGGAACTTGAAGATTGAGCGACTAACTCGCCGTTTTCCCGGACGACAATATCAAATACTGAAAAATTAAGTAATGAATTATTTACTCAAGTATTATAATAATTTATATTATGAAACTGCTAAAGAATTAACATTAATTTCTTCAGTTATTGAAACAATAAAAAAACTTTAAACGAAGATTTATTAAACGTAACAGGTTTTTTGACTACTTTAGATATTAACACTGAAAGTAAACAGAATATTGATAAAAATGAACATAAGTTTTTTGAGACTTAAATCAATTTTTTATAATCCAATTTAATGCACTGTAAGTTCTATTATCCATGAATTAATAAAATTCGGAAGTTTTCAAATATTATAATTGTAAATATAAACCTTACTTTACGAGCATTATTGGTTTTTTTTTTATGAATATGGAATTGGAACGTCTGTTGATTATCATAAGGCGTTTGAAATGTACAAGCAAGCAGCTGATGATTTTTATTATAATTTTAATTGTTCTTTAAACGATCAATCCAATTTTCTTTATCAAAAAGATATTAAAAGAAAATCAACATACCGGGTTAATTTCTCTTGGTTTACTATACATCAATGGGAAAGGAGTCGCAATAAACAAACAAAAAGCATTGTAGTTATTTCTAAAATCAGTTATTAAAGGTTCAAGTTAAGGATCGAAAAATGTTATTATTCTGGTTTAGGAGTTATTAAAACCTTTCTTTATTATTTGAATGGTTTTTAAAATTTGCTGAAGAAAGAAATGCAAAAACACAAAGCGAAGTTGGGTATTGTTATGATTTTGGAAAAGGTACTATTGAAGATAGAGAAAAGGCTTTAATGTGGTATATGAAATCAGCAGAAAATAGAAACTTTCTTGGTTACAATAATCTTGGTTGTTTTTATCGTAATGTCATGGTAAAAAATAAAAGGCTGGCTTTTGAATACTGGTACCTCATAAAATCTGCTGAAGGTGGTAATTAGGGATGAGAATCGAATCTCGGATAATCGTTTTAATCGTTAATCGATTCTCATTTTTGTGTAATCGTTATAATCGTTTCTAGAAACGATTACATATTTTTGAATCGATTCTTGAATTAGAATCAAT